GGAGAAGAAGGAGGAGGAGGAGGAAGGAGGAGGAGGAGGCAGGCAGGCAGAAGAAGAAGGAGGAGGAGAAGACAGGCAGGCAGGCCAGCCAGCCAGACATCACTGAGATGCATTGACAATTATTAATAGCAGTTAAGCTGATTCTAAACTGTGTTCATTGGTGGGGCAAAGCATGTTGACAGTTTGACTCTTATGAAGAGGAAATGTCTCAAGCACTGGCAAGCTGGGCCTGCATGTCTGGGTCTCATAGCTGAGAGGACAGCTACAAAAACCAGGGCCTGATATGAGTGGTGGCTTGGAAAGTAGAGTCATTAGCAGAGCACTCCAGAGTAGCAGCTAGTCTGGCAAACTCCTCTTTTTAATCACAACATAGGAGAAATGGCAATTCAGTCTTATCTCCTGGACTCAGCAATGAATATCTTTTTCTTTTCCTAGAGGATATGTGTCCACACAGTGCACACACTTTAAAACCAATAGTTAGAGTTGGACAGTATTTTCCATTTATGGTATAAGCTTTGACTTTTATTACTTTCCCTCACGTGAGCCTTTGAGTTCTGAAATGTGGTGTATATGTTTCAGTTTGAGAATGTTTGCTGCTCTCCCAAAATTTTTATGCATAATTTTTGTAGTTATTTTATTCTAAAAAATAGCTAGGTCTATTTTGCTCTGTGACTACAACTTTTATACCTTTAATCTATATTGAAAAATGTCCTGGCTTTGAATTAAGTGTAATGCTGCAAGGAGCATGAAATACAAGAGATCTTGCTATTCCATTTTAAGTCTATAATTCCATTTTAAGAGAGCCCATACCATTCAACTTGGGAACACAGAATGGTTGTTGCCCTACTCAGACCTCTTCTCTTGTTCTTAACCTTACTTCTTAACACTCAACTCCTCATACTACAGCCCAACCATCAAATCTTTACAATTCTTTCTGTATCCTGTTCCCTTCCCACTGTTGTTCCTTTACACTGGCTGTTTCCAAAAAAGGCCTAAAATGGCCTTCCCTTCTTTGCCTATTAGATCCTCTTTTATCCTGTATGACCTGACTCAAGACCTATCCTTCAGAAGGCTCTCTGTAGATTCTCTCAGTCTCCCTACCCTACAGCTCCTTACACATAGCTCTATTGTTCAGTTTCTCATGGTGTTATGTCCCTTCTGAGTCTGCACCCTGAGCATTTACCACATTACCTGGTGCTTGTTGGGCACACAGGAATGTAACATGTATTAAATGAATAAAAACCAACACAAAGCATTTTTTTTCTCTTCCTACAGAAACGATGACTATGGGTAAGAAGACCACTTGTGCCAAGGACACAGTAGGACAACCATCGTACAAAGACCTTAACTTTTCCCAACCAACAACACCCAGATGACTACAGTGACCAAACCCTCAGCTGTAACCACAGCAGTAATTGATCATTTTTCCAGATTGGGTTTGGTGAACATGAATGATCGAGCCCCCTTCTTTAGGTGGCCCAAGGTGGTGTTCTGCAAGGGGAAGCTAAACTCTCATGCCCAAGAGCCTAGATCAGACTATAGAAGAAGCCAGCAGATAGAGTGGGAGTACTGAGAGTGCCAAGAGTAATTGGATTCTTAGTGATTGACTGATATAAGGCCCTTGTGGTGGGGACACAGCACCTGCTGTTGCAGCAGTTACTCTTGACATCATGTTTGTTACCTGCCAGAATGCCCTGGAAAGACAGAATATTTAAAAACATATCCAGGTGCTAAGTAGGCAGCAGATCTCAATTCATACTGGACTACCTTTGAGCTAATGACTGTTTCCAGAAAATCATTTTATCCTAAGAAGTGCTCTAACTTTGCAAGGAATGACCCCAGGAGAGTAATAAAACAACCAGGCTGTTCCCCTGGAAAGAAAAAATCTAGGACACACTCACAGCAAATTCACTGCCCACACCCACGTACAAGGTAGAAAACACTAGCTTATCATTGCCCTCTTTTCTCCTAAACCTAAATTCTGAGGAGTCAGAGTCCCCAGCAGTTCTCTAGGTGCCGGAGGTTATATGCTGTCAACTCAGAATCGACTCATAGCTGAGCCTCCAGCAGATTTTCAGAAGCTAGAGATCACACAAGAGGAGACTGCCTATCTTTCCCTCTTGGACCAACTGGTGGTTTCAGAATGCCTCCCTTTGAGGTGGCAGCATAACTCCTTACCAACTTGGCCACCAGAGCTCTAGGAAGTCAGGAGTCTCTTCCTTTTTTAACTGATGTTGGCATTAGAATGGAAATTTATTCTTACTTCTGTTAGAAAAGGATAAATCACAATGGCACAAGCATTCAGGATCATCCTTTCTCAAGTACATTTGTCCTCTGAGGGAGAAGCCCCACAGAGTGATAACCCATCCCCTAAGGGAAGGCACAGCTCATTGGGTCTTCTTGGCATGAGTGCCTTCTGGGGTATTTCCATATACAACAGCCAAGAGACATAGCCTTGAGTTGCACAGAGATTTCCTTTGCACTCCACTTTCACAGCACTTGGAGAATGGAAATACCTGTTAGAATGAAGGTTAAGGGCTCTCCCCAGGCCTCATCCATTACTCAGCTTCCTTCATGATCAAGTCCACCCCATTGTCACCTGTAATCCTCATCTCCAATGCTCCTGCCTCCACATAACTGAAACCAAAGGCCTCGTTATACCCTGGGGAATCTGGGGGGCTGTCACAGTAGTCCCCTTTAATCCTGTTAAGGGTAAAGCACTCTCATCCACACATCTGTACCCCTTCTCTAAGATAATATTTCCTCTTTCTGACAAAGAATCCAGAGTTGGACCACAGTTTTCCTTTCTGGGAATCTCATTATTTCTGTCTTCCTTTTAATTAACATTTAAATGTGGGACTAACTGAGTAGGAACAGGTTCATGTCTTCGGAGCGTTCTTGTTACCACAGCTGCCTAGCAAGAGAATTTCTATCCTGATAACAGATCTAAAAGGATGGATGCCTTTGGTTGTGCGAGGATAGTGTCTTACCCAAGCTTCCCATGTCCCCTGGCCTGCCTAATCCATTTCCATCTCTGATAAACTTTCAACCATAGGGGGCCAAAGTAACCTAAGGTTCTGTCAGTGTCTGATGGCATGAGAAACAGTCAACTCTTTGCCCAAGTTTTCTCTCCTCTGACACTTCCCTACTCCAACCTCTTTCACCCTATCGATGTCTAGAACCAAAGCATGATGAGCTGGTGCCAGCAAAATTGTCAGTGGAAATATTGTCTCCAGAACCAGCCACATAAACCCAGAAGAATGGTCCCAGAGAAGCCAGACTGGCCCCAAATAAATATCAAGCAGCCACTCTCAATCAACTTTGATCTGTCCTTGGTGATAGGAGGCAGGTAAGAGATCCTGGGGTAGCTGTGCCTATTTCTCTCTCCCCAGGATCTTTCTCCCCAGAGAGCTGGCAGCCCTAGGGTCATAATGAATTGAGTTTGCTGCTGGTTTGTCCATGTGAAACAGAAGGACGCTTAATAGAAGCCAGTAGACAAAGGGGTTTGTTCTGTGGCAGGCAGGTGACTAGGAAAGCTTTGCCTCACCAGTCCAGTTGTGGTTACAAGCTGGTTATAAATTTTAATTCTTCAAGTTTCTTTGCAACTCTGACTATTCTCACATTCTGTTTGGTTTCCCTTTAGTTTCCTAGTAAATATTCCTTTTGAAAAATTCCAACTTTGTCTCATTGAACTTGGGGAGGGTTAAGAGATTCTCCAACATCTGTGCTGGCATAGAGAATAAAATTGAAGTACCTCCTAAAAATAGAAACAGCAGTGAAGCACCTATGTCAGATGTGAGGAAGAGACCTCAGAAAAAAATTGATGTCAAGAGATGGAGAGACCAGGTGTCTTCCTCTGTCTGCTTGGCACTGATTCACAACCTCTTCCTCTAACTGCCTTTCTCTTTCAGGGGTCTTCCCATAGTGTGTGTTGTTGGCAAAGCACCTTCCCATCCAGGGAGCTGGACCCGCTGACCAGGCAGTACAGTAACCAGGAAATACAATGAGACTTGACCAGAGGAGCTGGGGAGGGGAAGGAAAAGGAACAGTGTCTATAAAGTGAATGTTTTCAAAATGCTACAACTGTCATCACTCAAAATGCTACCATTTCGACCTCTTGACCAATAAATAATAGAACTGTACGTCATATGAAAAGAAAAAAATTATACTCTCACACTTAAACCAAAAGTCTGACAAAAGAGAAATATGGCAGATGCATTGCTTTCTTCATGGCTGTTCTGTCCTGTGATGGTGGGTGTTATGATTCTCAATTGCCGTATAACAAGCCCCACAAAACTTAACGGTTTATGTAGTAATTTCTTTTCCCTTATGATTCTGTGGGCTAGTTGGGTTTTTGTTCTCTCATCCAGTCACGTGATCCTGTGACTGGAATCATCTGGATGAGTTAAATGCCCATAATGGCTGCTTCACTTGCAGGCCTGCCTCCTCAGTTGGGATGATTGGAACAGCCGAAGGCTGGGAGTTCCTTATCATATGATCTCCCCACATGGTTAGTTTAGAAGTCTTCATAACTTGGAGGTCTCAATGTATCAGACGTCTTACATAGTAGCTAGCTCCCCCAAGAACAAGCATTACAAGAGGCCCAGGTAAAGGCTACAAAGTTCTTTTAAATAACTTCTAAAGTAACATAATAATATCTGTCACTTACTGTTGGTTAAGAGCAAGTGTTTGGCCATCCACATTCTAATGGGAGACATTACACAAGATTGGAGTGTAAGAAGATGTGACTTAGCCAGGCAATCTGTGGAGACAGTGGGAGTAAGAGTGAGGGTTAGATTAGGGTTCTCAATCAGAGGGCTTACAAAGCCATCACTTCTGAGACACATTTAACGCTTAAATGTTAGGTGGAGAGTGTAGGAAATGGGTAATAGGAGAGGAGAGGGGGAAGGGTCATCCACAGACAGTTAAAACATAAGCTAGAGAAAAACAATGGTTATATGGTGATAATTGATACTGAGCTTTCAATGTCACAAGAAATCCTGGAGGAAAAACATGATCCACATTCTCCTGACAACTCAAAATTTGCATTGGATGTTTATTCCTTCATCTGTGAACCAAGGTAAAGGTACAATCAAACAATTCTCATTCTTAAGAATATACTTAGATACAAAAATAGAAGTGTTTTTTTAATTCCTTGTCTTGAAATTTTACTTCAGAAAAAAGTACTGCCCTAGCTGGGGGCAGAGGGCACAGTTACCAAATACAGTTTGAATGAGTGTAATCCTTCATAGTTGCCCCTTTGCCTGAGGTCCCCACATTACTCTTACTGCCACAGTGCCTTCTCCAGTCTCAAAGTAGTCCCACCAGGTAGGTAAATCAGGACCCAGTCCTTCTCCCCACACTGACCTCTCCTAATTTAGAGAAACTCAAGATTCTAGAAAGTAATCAAGTGAATTAAAATATGAGTACAGGGATAAAGGTCCACCCAGGGGGCCAAGGGCAGCACGGCTGCACACGCCTGGTATTCCCAGCTCAAGTTGCCTGTCTGTCCACCATGGCCGCTGCCCTGCGTGCCCAGCTTCTTCTGCAGGTGATGTTGGCCCTCGTGTTGATGCTGAGCCCGGCGCACAAAACAAGTGCCGCCAAGTCCCCACGCCTGCTGCTGGGTGGCCTCATGGATGCTGACTTCAACGAGGAGGGTGTGCAAGCAGATTGTGTCTGGAGTGAAATACTACTTGGACATGGAGATTGGACTAACCATGTGTACGAAGTCCCAGCCCAATTTAGCCACCTGCCCCTTCTTTGACCAGCCACACTTGAAGAAGAAAGTCTTCTGCTCCTTCCAGTACATACTGTTTCTTGGGAGAACACAATCTCCATGGTGAAATCCAGCTGCCACAGTGCATAGAAGGCTGTGTGGTAGGTGGCACCCCTGACTGCCTCTTACAGTGGCCCTTTAGAGTGTGATTGCCCTTGTTGGGCATCATAGACCTTAGATTGGTAATCCCAGTCCAGTGAGACTGCAGTGAAATCTTAGTGTGAGAAAATCAAGTGTTCTTCAGCATTTTTTTTAACAACTAAGTGGCCACAACCTTTCATTGCTTTTCAGATGCACCTAGCTCTTGGTGCACCTTTTGCTCTTAATCAATAAAAAGTAATGTCAGCTACAAGTAAAAAAAAGTATGAATATAGATGTACATATAACACCAAATTCTGCATTGATTCTGGGAGTTGAGTAAGTCAGCTGCCTGCACGCATTTCACTGAGGGCTGCAGATGGGGCTGGTACCCTCAGAGTGCACTCCTTGCACTGGCCAGCTTCTTGAGTTGCCACCTGAAGTCAAGCCTGAGAGGATAGCCCTATCTCTGGTTTCCTGTCCCCTTCCAGATCCCTACTAATTGCACCCCTTCTCTCCCAGGGTTCCGAAACTGGTTGCTGACATAGAATACAAGCAGAGACTGAGTGGCCAGTGAGACTTTCTGAGACACAAGTTTTCTCTCTGGCAGAGCCTTTTTTGATTCTTCTAATTTGGCCTCTAAATCCCCTAGTGACTAAATGAAATGATAACTCTGCAATAGCCTATAGTAATCACCTACAGGCAATTCCCTGTCTCTATCCCATGACACCTGCCACAGAGGTCCTGTGTTGAGATCTTCTAAATTAAGGCAAGCCATTGGTAATGGTTAGAGGACTTTGGTATTTCCCAAAAATATACTTCCCAAAGAAGAGTCTTACAGAGTTAAGGTTTTTCCATGAAAGTCTGGATCACTCCACTTTATATTCTGCTACATCCCAAGATAAGCTGACCTTTATATAAGAAGTGGAACAGTAAAGCTGGATAAAAGAAAGTAATTTGAGAGGAGGGAGAAGTCCCACAAATTAAAGATATGGGCTGAGGAATACCTGCAAGAAAAGTAAAAAAACAGAAAAGTCTGGCTGATATTATAGAAGTTGTGAAATTATAGAAGGTCAGCCTACACACCCATCTCTACACCCAGGGCAGATAAAGAGGCAAAGACAGGCTCTGATAAGTCCCACTGACCTGCCTT